ACGACCTGCGCGCGAAGTCGAGCACTTTACGGTAGCACAGTTTAACGAGGACCAATACCGCACACCCTCGATCCCTACGCAGACTGATCCAAGTGGTCACCCACCCGCACACTGACCGCAGCCAGTGATGCTTGACTTCGGTGATCTGATGAGAACCGTGTCTTAACGATCAGTCCACTGCGGGACAAAAAAGGAATTTAATAAATATGTCTAGTGGCTAGGGGAAATTTTTCGACTACAGAAAATCTTTGTGGGGTCACAGCCACCACCGAGACTTTCCATCCCTTGACCTGCCCACCAATTCGTATGCAATGACACTTTCTAATCAATACATTGGCTATAACTAATTAAAAAAATGTTTATTATTAGCTTTATATTTAATGTAAATAAATAATTTAAAGATTGCTTACAAATATTAGGGATAATGTATAAGATATAGTAAGAAAAATATCTTTATCATTTTTTATCTGCAATTTTTCGTGAAGCAAAAAATGTTAAAAAGGCATATTTACGTATTCTATAATGTTAACACGTAAGTTAATGTATTACGTTTTTTAGTTTAACTTATTAAAATTTTGAAAATAATTAGTAAAGCTAACATGTAATTACCAATTACTGTTCTTGCAAATGAATAAATGAAACATTCTCAGAAAGAAATATGAATCTGCAGATAACTTATTTTATATGATAGCTTTAGAAATATAACTTGGAAATTAAAATTTAATGAATATTTAATACTTGTTTTGCTGTGAGACACCGTTACGCGCCTCGATACATAGGCATTCTATAGAATATCTTAATATTTTACATTTTAACAACAAGGCAAAAATTGAAAATTTCAATGATGTTTTAAAAAAGAAATTTTATACTGGAATGATAATATAAATATGTTTTAATTCCTTTCAGCGTACTACGCCTTCGTTGCATGCGGTATTAACTTGTCAATTCATGTCGTAATGTATTTATATTACGGATTAGCTGCCTTCGGTCCTCACATGCGAAAGTATTTATGGTGGAAAAAGTATTTAACTCTCCTGCAGATAGTGAGTAGACATACCTTTATTTTAATTTCAAAAACAAGTAATATATAAAATAAAGATTTAAAGTCAATTCCGACTTAAGTCAAAAAGAAATTTTTTTAAATTTTAGTTTAGTATTAAATAATTAAAAAATTTTCGCCCAGATAAAACTAAAATTAATTAATTAAATTTAATTAATGAATTAATATTTGAAAAAAACTGTATCGAGAGTCATCCACTACAAGTTTAAAAAAATGTATTTGAACTTGAGGGAATGAATAAAAAGTAGTTAATTAACGATTGGAAATTTGAACAAGATATATAAATATATATAGGGAAAGTGTGAACTAATTGCAGGAATTGAGGANTGAATTTATTTTTGTGCCAATAGGTGGCAGCATGAGTCTTAAAACTTATAATAATGACAGTAAAAATAAACCTTTTTTCTGAACTTTTAATATTTTTACATAAATGTAATAATTAAGTTTTATTGTTAAATGTTATAATTTTAACTAAGAATAGATTAATATAAACCTTTAATTTTATATATTTCACTTTTGGTCGTAAGTTTAATTTGTACTTTTGTAATACTGTATGGTGGCAACACACTGGGTTGGATGATAAAATTGATGTTTTCAAAGGAATGCTGTTGATGTTCACGAGCTGAGGAGATGGTTGAAAAGCTCCTGGAAAAATTATTGATTATCCCAATGAAGTGATAAAATCCTTTTTAGAGTAGTGTAATCCGTGCCTTTGAGTGAATAACTTAACCCGAATGTATGCTACATGAGTTAGTGCTGGTGAGAAAAAGCTCACGTGTAGTGGCCACACGTGGCCTGGCATTATAGTGGTAGTTTTTCATCTACCAAACCTAATGGCTAAGAGTTGAGGAGGTGATATGATAAGTGCATAATCTCCAAGCAGTAATGTTAATATGGTATGGTATCGTATATCAGGGGCAAGATGTTAGCCCGTGGTAATCACTGATGTGCAGTTTGCTTGTTTGATGCTAGTCCCCTCGGACAACTTTTTTTCATATGTATTCGCATACCCTCCAACTTATGAGGATTTTGAAAATAATTCTTTCAAGTGGTAGCGAACCAAAATAGAAATTATTAAAGCAAATGGATCCCTCATAAAACTTTTATCAGAAGTTAAGAATCTAGCCATATGGCCTGCACTTTTATAAGTAATAGTGGACAAGTGACGCTAAAATCAATTTTTTTTTAAATATTAAGACATTAATTTTGCTACCGTCTGAAAAGAAGATTTCTGAAACTACGGAAATTCCGTAGCAGTCGGAGGGTATGTGTATTCGTAATGAATGTGTTATTTTTCGTAATTTTTAAAAATGTTTTTTAATCAAGTTCCTTAAGGACTTAATCCTTTTTTGAAGTAATTTAATAAACCCAGTTATTTAATCTAATACCTTAGATAAGATTTATTTTCTTTTTGTGTGATGAGGGTGTTAATTTTTACTTTGCAGGTAAACAGGTAAGGTATCCCATGCTGGAGAATCGGGGGATCATTAATAATTAACTTAGGAAAGGGAAGAAATACACAACGCGATGTTTAAATGTAGGGGAATAACTATACTAAACGGTACATTGCAGGAATTGAGGGAAAAAAAAGCACGTGGTATCAGACAGCTATAAAAGTATAAATTTGGTGACGTGGACAACACCTGCTACCACGTAATTTTCTTTATTGAATTTATCTGACGCAGCGAATATAAAATAATTAAATATTTAAATGTGCGCAATAAACTATTGTTTGTTCAAATAGTTTAAAATGATCATTGATATTATCTTTAAAATGTGTGAAGAACTGAATCTCTTATAGTAACATTTAAAACAATGACTAACGCTTAAATAATCAGAAAATTCAATTTCGTTTTTCGCTCATCCCTATTTAATTAATGAATTAATATTTGAAAAAACTGTATTAACATCGAGAGTCATCCACTACAAGTTTAAAAAAAATGTATTTGAACTTGAGGGAATGAATAAAAAGTAGTTAATTAACGATTGGGAATTTGAACAAGATATATAAATATATATAGGGAAAGTGTGAACTAATTGCAGGAATTGAGGAAAAAAAAAGCACGTGGTATCAGACAGCTATAAAAGTATAAATTTGGTGACGTGGACAACACCTGCTACCACGCAATTTTCTTTATTGAATTTATCTGACGCAGCGAATATAAAATAATTAAATATTTAAATGCGCGCAATAAACTATTGTTTGTTCAAATAGTTTAAAATGATCATTGATATTATCTTTAAAATGTGTGAAGAACTGAATCTCTTATAGTAACATTTAAAACAATGACTAACACTTAAATAATCAGAAAATTCAATTTCGTTTTTCGCTCATCCCTATTTAATTAATGAATTAATATTTGAAAAAACTATATTAACATCGAGAGTCATCCACTGCAAGTTTAAAAAAAAATGTATTTGAACTTGAGGGAATGAATAAAAAGTAGTTAATTAACGATTGGGAATTTGAACAAGATATATAAATATATATAGGGAAAGTGTGAACTAATTGCAGGAATTGAGGAAAAAAAAAGCACGTGGTATCAGACAGCTATAAAAGTATAAATTTGGTGACGTGGACAACACCTGCTACCACGTAATTTTCTTTATTGAATTTATCTGACGCAGCGAATATAANATTCATATGAACTCTGATTCCCTTTTTAACGAAAGCTCCTCACCAATTCTCCATGTCACGTGCAAAAGCATTTTACTCTGATTTCCCCTTCTCGGTCACTGCGATTTTTCGCATTGCGTACTGCTTTTTATCTTTTTTACCCCTCGCCTACTGAGGTTTTTTCTAGTTTTTTTTTCTCTCCTTTATTTTTCCTTTTTTGACAACTTTACTTTTTATTTTATTTCAAATCACTTTTGTTTCTTCTCATTCGCGCCTGATAAGTCTTGACAATGGATGCCTATCTTTGCACACTTGAAACATATCGAATGTTGTTTTCAATTGGCAATTTCTTGGTGTGCTTGATTTCTTCTTGTGAATGAAGCTTTCAATCAAGTTGGTGTTTATTTTTGTTTTGAAATCAAATTTCTCCAGAAATTTTCAAAATCCCATGTTGTTTCATTAAATAGTTTAAGAATTGCAACAGTGAGAAGCATGTTCGGTGAAAATATCCTGAAATAGTGGTTACGGTGGCAATAATATTTTTTTTTAATTGAGACAAAAAAATATTTCAACAAATTAAAAGTTCAACTTTTGTGTTGCTTACGCAGTCTAAAAATGTTTATGCACTTAAAAATTAAGATAAGTTTCTGCCGTATGTAATTACAATTGATAATTTTAATAATTATTTTTTTTAACTTTCTGTCAGCGCTCATCTATATTAGTAACTAAACTGTATTCACTGTTACACTTTTCAAATTTTTCTTTATCATAAAATCTGGTCTTGTCTAGCGAAACTAGCTCTTTTGTATTCGGAAATAAGAGCTCCATTAAAAATTATTAAAAAATAGGCTTTTTAATAACGAGGTGCGGATTAGATTTGTTAAAGAAAATTGAGGAATGGATTTCTGAAGCATTGCATTTATCATCGCTATTTAAAAAAGTTAGATAAAGTTGGAATCTTGACTAATTTTATTTGTTTATTCTCAAAAAAAAAAAAAAAAAAAAAAAAAAAAAAAAAAAAAAAAAAAAAGAGAGAGAGAGAGAGAAAAAATGGAATTTCATAAATATGCCTAGTGGCTAGGGGAAATTTTTCGACAAGAGAAAATCTTTGTGGGGTCACAGTCACCACCGTGACTTTCCATCCCTTGACCTTTAATATTTAAAACGACGCATATACTACGCGCTAAATTAAAGGGACATACTAGAATACGTCGTGATATGTGGAAAGACATATAATATTTAAAACGACGCATATACTATGCACTAAATTAAAGGGGCATACTAGAATACGTCGTGATATATGGAAAGACAAATAATATTTAAAACGACTCACATACTATGCACTAAATTTAAGGGACATACTAGAATACATGGAAAGACAAGTGATACGTGGAACGACACATATGCTACTCACAAAATTTCTGGGACATACTACATGTGTTTAATGCTTGCACTCTTAAACAACTCGTCTTAGGGTTCAATATTATGTTTCCACCAATGTCCGTAACAGCAGCAGTGTTACCTTTTCTACAGTGATGAGAATACATAAACTTTGTCTTTCACAAGTTTGCGTACCCTTAGCGCAGTATCCCAACAATGAAGGAACACTGCTATGATGGACAATGATCAGAACATTCTGTGGAACATATAGACTGAACTGGTTTGCTTTTGAGATGCCGGGTAACAAAGGGTTCTTTCATTGAACATTGTAGTATATACCAGAAACAGGGCAAGTGTATTTATCTTTATCATAGCATCATCCTCACACGTCTTTATTGTAGACATTAACTTATGTACTATCATTAATAATATCATCATTATCATCATAGATATATTATTAGTCTAAGATCTTTATAGATCGATACGTGATAATAAACAGTTTCTTTGAAACTGGTTGATATGGTGAATTGCTTAGAATTAGCTTGGGATATGTAATATTTCAAGATGTTCGTCATAAACCCTTCACCTAACTGATAGTTTGTATAGCGACGCCTCTAAAATTAAACTCTTTACTCCACACTTTTTAAAATATTCTAAAAATAATTATTTTCATTTGCAAGATTAGTCCAGGAATATGGGAAAATTTTAGAAAAAAAAATATCAGTTACAATTTTTGAGGGCGGGAGATTTTCTGTCAACTTTCTTTACATAAGAGAAGATTGAGAGCAATGATATAAAATATTTTATTAAAATTACCATACTGTGTAAAAAAAGAAAGGTAATTTTATAAATTTACTGATATTCAACGTAAATTTAAACAATGGAATCTTTGCAACAATAAACTAAAAATCACTAAAAATTCAAGTAAAAACTGAATTATAAGAGATGAAAAGAACTGGACATTCAAATCGCACTTAATAAACAACAAATCAATTAACACTCTTACCGAGATGGCAATAGGTGCCAAACTAAAGAAGCTACTTTCCGGAAAATACCGCGTCCTTCAACGTTTAAACTAGATCAGACTGGTGGTCAAATCTTTTCCCTTACTAAGACACGCAGATGGGAGAAGCAATTTTAACTCTCTTTAACTAATTTTAATTTGATAATTTCTCTTTAACTAATTTTAACTCTCTTTAATTCTCAATTTTAACTTCAATTTGAATACAAATTATAGAAGGCAGTAGAGAAAATTTAATTCAAACTTTTCACCGATATGTAAAGGGGAACAGTGTAGGGTTTAAAAGAATTTCAAAGCATCAATTTTTTGTACACATTCAAATGAAATCTCAAGTGAAAGGGAATGAAGAAAGGGAAAGTCAGAAGAAAGGGATGTCGAATATCGTTAAAATTTTGATCCTGTTTATTTTTTATGATGTACAAAGAAAGAAAAAACAAAAAAATTTTTTAAATATATAAATTTATAAGAAAGCTATAAATTTCATAAAAAACAGAAAAAAATAATCAAAAACTCAGAATGTTACAATACATAATTTGTGAGATTTGTAAATATTCTTCAACTATTCAACTATTCGAGTACGCAACTCTTTCTGATTCAATAAAAAAAAAAATTTAAATAAAAAATAATTATTTTCAATTTTTAATGAGACACCAACTTTAGTTCACATAAACTTTAATTTTAAAATACGAAATCTAAGATACAGTTATTGTTTTAGGTTGTGTTACTATTTCTTATAAGTATTATCTAAGATATTTCAACCCTCCGTAATAAAATATAAATTTATAATGTTCATAAAGTATTACCACAAATAATGTGTTTTATGTTTCCTAATTCAACTATAAATAAATTCATATTAATTTTCTTTTTCAGATGCAGTTTATCATTATCTTAGGCTTTGCATTGTTTGGGTTTTTAACTGGATGTGAACATGTAAACAACGGTGAAATAATTCTTTTTGCATTTGTAACTGTAGTTCTAATATTATTTCTAGATTTTTATGTAAAGTCATATCATAACAAAGTTACTGACAAAAGAGCAAAGGGAGTCAAAGTTTCATAGCTACAACAATGGAGCATTAAAACTATTTTCTGCTACATTAGATTTTAAAATTGTGAGCTTTGTATTTTGTACTGTATTGAGTATTTTGTACTGTATTGAGTATTTTGTACTGTATTGAGTATTTTGTACTGAAATACCTCACCGAGTTGTTTCAATTAAATAAAAAAAAATATTGCTCAGTCTAATATTTCTAATGAGTTATTTTAAAGCAAAATATGACTTCTTAAAACGTTAATGCAACAAAATTAGTTCTTATGATAATGAAATAATATCGGTGGCCAGTTGATCCACCATTTTAAGTAAGTGTACGGTTAAATAAGAGAGTATACGGTCAATTATTAAAATTACCATACTGTGTAAAAAAAAAGAAGGTAATTTTATAAATTTACTGATATCCAACTTAAATTTAAACAATGGAATCTTTGCAACAATAAACCCAAAATCACGAAAAATTCAAGTAAATACTGATTTATAAGTAGATGAAAAGAACTGGACATTCAAAGCGCACTTAATAAACAACAAATCAATTGACCATCTTACCGATATGGCAATAGGTGCCAAACTAAAGAAGCTACTTTCCGGAAAATACCGCGCCCTTCAACGTTTAAACTAGATCAGACTGGTGGTCAAATCTTTTTCCTTACTAAGACAAGCAGATGGGTGAAGCAATTTTAACTCTCTTTAACTAATTTTAACTCCCTTTAATTCTCAATTTTAACTTTAATTTGAATTTAAATTATGGAAGACAGCAGAGAAAATTTAATTCAAACTCAGCTTCACAGATATGTAAAGGGGAACAGTGTAGGGCTTATAGGAATTTCAAAGCATCAATTTCTTTGTTCATATTCAAATAAAATCTCAAGCGAAAGGGATTGAAGAAGAGGAAAGTCAGGAGAAAGGAATATCGAATATCGTTAAAATTTTGATCTTGTTTATTTTTTATGATATAAAAAGAAGGAAAAAACAAAAGTTTTTTTTTAATATATAATATTTATAAGAAAGCTATAAATTTCTTAAAAAGCAGAAAAAAATAATCAAAAACTCAAAATGTTATAATACATAATTTATGAGATTTGTAGATATTCTTCAACTATTCGAGTAGGCTACTCTTTCTGATTCAATAAAAAAAGAAATAATTTCAAATGAAAAATAATTATTTTCAATTTTCAATGAGACAGCAACTTTAGTTCACATAAACGTTAATTTTAAAATACGTAATCTAAGATATAATTATTGTTTTAGGTTGTACTACTATTTTTTATAAGCATTATCTAAGATATTTCAACCCTCCGTAATAAAATATAAATTTATAATGTTCATACAGTATTACCACAAATAATGTGTTTTATGTTTTCTAATGCAACTATAAATAAATTCATATAAATTTTCTTTTTCAGATGCAGTTTATCATTATCTTAGGCTTTGCAACGTTTGGGTTTTTAACTGGATGTGAACATGCAAACAACGGTGAAATAATTCTTTTTGCATTTGTAACTGTAGTTCTAATATTATTTCTAGATTTTTATAGAAAGTCATATCATAACAAAGTTACTGACAAAAGAGCAAATGGAGTCAAAGTTTCATAGCTACAAGAAAGGAGCACTATTTTCTTTTAATGATAATAATAATAATAGAAGTAATGAGTCGAAATTCTTTTCTTTTTAGATTTTATGAAACTTGAGATAATGAGCCGGGAAATTTTTAAATTTTTTTTATAAAGCTTGAGAGTCAATCATTTATTTTATTCAAAAGAAAAACCTTCCCAGTATTGTAAATAAAAAAGAAATAATTCATGTAATAATTTGATAAATTTAAAAACTATTTTCTGTAACATTAGATTTTAAAATTGTGAGCTTTGTATTTTGTACTGTATTGAGTATTCTGTACTGTATTGAGTATTTTGCACTGTATTGAGTATTTTGTACTGAAATACCTCACCGAGTTGTTTCAATTAAATAAAAAAAAATGTTGCTCAGTCTAATATTTCTTATGAGTAATTTTACAAGCAAAACATGACTTCTTAAAACGTTAATGCAACAAAATTAGTTCTTATTATAATGAAATAATATCGGTGGCCAGTTGATCCACCATTTTAAATAAGTATACGGTTAAATAAGAGAGTATACGGTCAAAAATTAAAACAATATGTAAGTATAATAAACTCATATTGTTCAAATGAGAGTGAATTTCCTTTTTAACTCTTACATGTTCTTACATAGTGTTGGTTTTATTATTGAAATCTAAACATATTCTAACATTTAACAAGAAAACGCAAACATATATGAGTTAATTCAATGGCACCTTTGATGGATAAATTATTATTTTAATTTTTTCATAACCATCGTTGAACAGCAGACTCAATTTTTTGGGCTTACGACTACTAATGTCCAACTCCGTAGCCTTGTAATTTTGAATCAATCCAAAAGACAAGAAAACATTCTGGATCAGTACCCCCAGAGGTTTAATTTGTTATGGGAACATGGAGTACTTTGTAACTCGACAAATTTATCGTGCATCAGTTACCATTTACTACACGTGATGGATAAATTAGCAACGTTTTCAAAACAAAGATGCTCACTGATTTTCTAGTAATAACTATGCGAGCCAATGAATTTTATTTGTAAGTGTTTTTTGGTCAAAACGATACGAACTTTAACTGTTAAGAACTTCTTCTGGTTAAAAGAATGAACAGATTTAAAACTATAAACAATCCATTTTAAAGCAAAAAGACGTTTAAATGGCAATTGGAAAAGACAGTAGATTGAGAAGCAGTTTTATTTAACTATTTTAAACCTGAACAAAAGATTTCACTGTTAAATTTTTTTTTTTAACTTAGAGACCCAGGAGTTAAAATTCAACTCATCTAATTCCTAAATATGTGTACTCGAATGTATAATTTATGTCCGCTGTTTGTTTCCAACCTCTATGTTCTACTTATCGGTTATATGGGCCAGACGTTGTCAACTTCTTTTTTGAATCGATGCACTCTCAGAAATAAAACTCTCACTTTAGACGATTAAGAAACTTTTTAGATACATTTCGTTAATTTTGAAAATAATTTCACCAATTCAATTCAATGTAAGGGAATAATAAATAAATAAATAAATATATATATATATCTCTTTCTCTCTCTCTCTCCCCCCCCTCCTCCTGGGAAGGGTTT